CATTTAGATCCAATAGCACTTGTTTACTCACCATTTACAAGTGGTGCACCATAGTGAAGTACATTTAGATCCAATAGCACGGTTTTACTTACCATTTACAAGTGGTGCACCATAGTGAGTACATTTAGATCCAATAGCATAGTTTACTTACCATTTACAAGTGGTGCACCATAGTGAGTACATTTAGACCCAATAGCACTATTTACTTACCATTTACAAGTGGTGCACCATAGTGAGTGCATTTAGATCCAATAGCACGGTTTACTTACCATTTACAAGTGGTGCACCATAGTGAGTGCATTTAGATCCAATAGCACTGTATGCACCATGCTCTTTGATTAACAACGCTTTACCAGATCCAACAGACACTTCACGCATCCTAACAAAAACAAACAAAATAAACATGGAACATCATAAAATAGAGTTGTTTTATTTTTACATTATTTTGAAAGAAACCAGAAAACAAAATATTTTATTATTTTCACAATAATTTTTTACACTTGGCGACTAAATTTTTACTAAAACAAAATTTCCTAACTTAAAAATGAAGTGATATAGGAGTCAACAATCAGAAACTCTTGTTTCCCTTCACTTAGTTTTGGGCTTGATTTTTTTTTTTCAGAATGAGCATTGGCTACCCTGTAGCAATTGTGTATGTGTGTTTTTAAATATAGTTTTCTGTTTCCCTTTGTGGTTGGGCTCGGTCGGCCATATTCCAGCATAAGATTGGAATTCAACAACTTGCAAACTCACAAATCACTTGTTCAATGTAAACTCTATTTATTGCTGATCAAAACACTTCAACCAAATTTACAAAAGTAAGCTTCTGGTAGTTGCAGAATTAATTAATTCCAAGCGAAAATAAAGTATTTTACAGTAATTTCATATAAGCACAAAACAGTTAAGCATAGACTACACTAGAACAGAACTACCTTTAAACTTTAAAAGGGGGAATATTTTCCAAGCAGACGGAGGTCAACCAATCAGTGACTGCTTACTAAACTAATCATGGAATATCAGCCAGAAAAGAAGGATAGAATGTTTTCCCAAAGAATTTTTTTACAGAAAATTCCAGGTTAGATCAAGAATATTATACAATTATTTTTAAGCACACAATTCATGAGGAATTATGTAATATCATCCACCTGTATGTGATATTTAGAAATTGTGACAGAATGAAATTCAGAGTGACCTACTTTGGGTGTTGTAGACGCTCACTCAAAGCAGCAGCAAAAATATGTATTTTAAAAATATTGTTATCACTAGCACATGTCAATTTTTAAACTATTTCACATGATTCCTAAACATTCTATATAGTTCTTATTGGTTAAGTTCTAAATAAATATTGTAACAATAAAACATACTCTCCATCTTTCAAATCATCTACTTTGCATACAACAGCTTCCACTGGTACCACCTTCTGAGCTTTCGGTAGTGGAGCCACACCATGTTTATCTGAAGAAAATACACAATATAATGAAAATAAGACAGCCATTTTAAGTTTTATTTTATTAAAAATTGAGGAGAAATTGTTATTGGGTAGGTGCTATTCAAATCAATGCTGGTACACGAGTAGCTTTTTTTATCAACAGAAAGGTAATCTTCTTTGCATACTTAAAACTGGAAACTAAAAACAATAAATTCAATATGAATGGGACCAAAGGTAGATAACAAAAATAAAAGGCATGCAACTTTCATAATCATGCCAGAAGATCTCGCTGTATTCATAAAACAGGCATAAAAACAATATGCACAGTGCAATTAATGCACATCCAACTTTATCTTGATCTCTTGCCTGTGTTAAATTTCTAAATATGTGTTTGTCACAAGATCTTTCATGTTAAGTGGATCTTCAGAGCATATGTCACCATCATTGCATGCACTTAGCTAATGTCTACTTATAGCAATGTACATGTATGTATGTAACAATAATACAGAGAAACCTGTCTAAACTGAACTATGTGTGACTGAAAACCAGTCCTGGACAGAATTCCACTTTTCATGTACTTGTACAAAGTAACCTTTATATTAAAACTAATCACATATGTAGACCAACCAATTCTCAGTACTATTCTTTTCGATGTACATTGCTAACAGTATAGATACATTAAACAGGCAATATTTTTCCTATAGCTATTATACCATGTCTATTAAATAATAAATAAATAATTATGCATGCTTCAATACGATCCATGCCTGTTTTTAATCAAAGACAAAACTTCTAATATTTTTTTTTTAATTTGGTTCAGTTGACCATGTTGTATAGAATTGTGAAGGAATTTTATATCATGATTGAAAAAAAACATGCATATATACTTATTATTTTTAAATAATAGAAGTTTTGGCTTTCCCTTTAGTACAAACTCAATGCAAGTCATCATGCTAGTAGTATCTATGTACAAATATAATATGAAACACAAAATAAGTCTCAAAAATCTGTTTAATATGCGTGTGTTTTTATGGTGCATTGGGTTGTGAGAGTGTTGGAAACTAATTAATGCTGGAACAAAAGTGGAACACACCACAAGAGTAAAAATATTGTTATTGTCACAAGAATGAATAAAAGGAAATAATAATATGTGGTCACCATAAAATAAAATACAGTTTTCTCAGTTTTAGGGCATTTTACTATTGATATATCTAAAAACTTTGCTCAGTCACCTATGATGAAAACAAGATATCTAATGTCTTACTAAATACTTTTCAATGTCTTGTAGTATTAAAAATTAACAATATTGTAATAGTGGTAATAAAAAAACTGGTATGGTATTTTCAGTCAATTTATACATTGATTTATTCTGAACTGAATACGATGACCCATATTTTTATTTCATTTTCTTCTTCCTTATACTGAAAATTTCACATATGTAATATTTTATAATAAATCACTTTTACTTTGAGAAGTGTTCTATCTTATAAGGTACAAAGCCGATCATGCAATTGTAACACAGTGAGTGAAATAATTCAAGTGTTGGAACACGTTCAATTGCCAAAAAATGACATTGATAATTTAAAATTTAGCTTTGTTGGTACATGATGACAAACATCACTCAACTTCAAATCATTGGTCGATTAGCAGGAATCCTGTGTGAAGATTCACCCTTTTAAATTTACACGAATTAGAAGTCTACCAAGAGTAGTTTAATTTGAAGTAATATATAAATGATATTGTATAAATGAGTTTTATCAGAGGTACATTACTTGGGGTTTGCAACTACGGTGACATGATACCAAGATCCCATTTCAATCTCGCTCTCGCATAAGCGTTCCAACTCAGAAAAATTCGAATGCGCATGCCCGAGGTAACTGGGATACTGAGTTGTCCAGGTGGATCAAAATAGCTGCTCGCGATATGACGGATTACGATAACTATATTTTCTGTACATTTTCGATGTATTACATTTTTTCACTATGAATGTGGTAATACATGTTTTATTATTTTATTACAAACCGCCTATTTCATGTCAGAAGGTCGTAGCACCAGTCTCGCTATCTACGAGATGAGACTTGAATGGGATCTTGACATGATGTCACCATACAGTGCTATGCGCGTTGCAAACCCCAAGTAATGTACCTCTGGTTTTATTTATTAAAATTGCATGAATTTAAATGGTGCGAGAATATCAAAAAGTTGGGGATATCAACTATTTAGTCAATTTCCTGCTCCAATGAGACTTGCTGTAATTTAAAAAAAAAACATATGATCCATATTATATAAGTACATATAGTATTATAATAAATATCATTATAATTAATAACTTTATTAGCAAATTCCAAATATAGAATGATTATACACGATATTTCCAAGATGGTGGATATGTTTAAAAACAAAGTTCATACTAAGAAATAATTGTCAACATGTTGGGCTTCATACAAGCAGTTACATCAGGAAAATATATAATAATACCGGTAGTATACATTTAGACAGTATGTAGTCACATCGACCTCTGCAAAGAGTTGGTCGATACGAGCACTGTACCATCTTCAAGTATACTTTGCAGTATCCTCGTATTAACCTCATACTAATGTTCCACACACATTACATTGTACATACACTGCACTGTTAGGGATTAATTTAACACAGACGCAAACACCAAGCAACAGCAAGAATTTGAAGTTGTATACATTCTATATGTTACCTAGTTCCTTTACCGGTACAGTATAAGACTTAGAAGCGAGCGGTGAATCGGCAGGGAGTGATTTGTCGGTATTCAATGAAACTATGTAAGCATGGAAGCATAATAATTAATATATGAATTAGTAAACAAACCATCTTGAACCGTGAGAGCAGACAATGCAGTACACTGGCAAGCTGTAAAAGACTTGTGACCATGGTTTTTGTTTATATACTCAAAAATAAATGAATATTTATCAAGATTCAACAACACAATGAATCCTATAATATTGTGAATGTGTTACAAAACAAAAAAAACTAAAAGGATTCAGGTAAAAACATGCACATTAAAGATTTTTTCTAAGGTTTTAATAAAGATTTATTAATTTAAAGCTCAATTTTAAAATAATAAAATAATGTGCGAGCCCATATAAATTTTAGAAAACCAATTGACCAAACTTAGCACATACACTGCTTGTGTAAATTAAAAGAGTTGCTATGGTCAAAATTAGTCATACATGTATTTTAATGATTCATTACACAACAAATGCAATTATGAGTTTATATGTGCCTCTATTATAGATGTGCTTCTGATACAGTAAATCTGGTATCCCTGGTGGAACAATAATTATCAGTTGCTAACCAAATGAAAATGAATTACTGCATAAGAGCATATTTTCCTAAAAAATTAAAATAATAATTCACTAAAAATTGAAGTTATTGTCACGAAATAAGCAAATTCGATAGTGATCTGATTGGACTGGTAGTTTTCTTATAGTCTCTTCCTATGCGTTCTAATGGTTTGCCTTTTAATTACTAACTGTTATGTGTAACTATAGTCCATAATAATTTAAAACAAAACATTTTGAACCATGGCATAGATGGAAGTCCTATTTCATGATTGTTGACATGTCTTTTGTACACGTTGCCATAGTGATGCAGAATAATCTCAATAACCAAACAAAGACTCAGCAATCAAATAGTTTAGTAAGATCAAAGTTTGTCTTTGACAAATACAGCACTGTTCTCATTTGCATATGAAAAACAGTCAAACATTTTCTTATAACACACCATACAGAAACAAAACCAACAATGTCAGAGAGGAAAAAAATAAATCAGAATTTGGGGAAGCGTAGCCTTATTGGTGTCCACTGGGTCCAACTTTTTCAGAATGAGCATTTCCGCCACAAAGTACCAAGATTTCACTTTATTTCAGCAAATAGAACAAGTAAGAATACTTTATTTGGAAAGCACAAATACAATGATGAGTCCAAAAAACAAATAACAATTCAATAAAATTAGGCTGAAATATCTGAATGACGAACACAGATTACTATTTTAAGATCTATTTTAATACATAAGGCTAAAAATAGAATTGTTCCTGGTCTTCATACGTTCAAATGTATGGTGCTATGAGTGCTAATTTTTGGACATTTTTCTATCATATATATTGACAATATTTTGACAGAAACCAGTCTTGAGCAGCCTTGTTTGAAACAAATGGTCTTTTGTCTCTGTCAGTATTTTGTAGTTCTGACACTTTAAAATAAAGTGCTTACAAGGAAATTATGTACAAATTATGTACGAAAGGTACAATCACAAAAGTCAAAATAATGAAATTTAAAATGAATCAACTCACCCTCCTTGGATGTGCAATGACCCATTCTTGTACTAATAAGTCTTGAAAATAGTGGTAGAGTTTTCAGTTGACTGTAGCGACCACTACCTATCGGTAAGAATGACCGAAATCGACTCGAACAAATTTGAATCTTTTTCACAGATCTTTCAAGTGTGACAATCAGTTGACAGGATGCAGATCTCAAAGGACTCGTCTCCGCAAACCTCCTTAGATGTACAACAGAAATGGACTGAACAGGACAACTAAACACAGAACACAGACGCTGGACGACAACACTCCTCATTCGTAATAGTTTTACACTTTCATTCTGCAAGAAATAATTATTAATCGGTGTTATTTATGTGGGTCAATCTGGGGTGATATACTTACATAACACAAACAAACTTTTTCAAATTTAACTTTAGGGCTGGTTCATTTTTCAGCACATTAATTGATGTGTACAAAAACTTTTATATTTTTAAGCTCAAAAATGTATCTGTGTAAATCAAATTATGCTGGAGAAAAAAAGCCATGTTTGGATAATCAAGCTATGAACGAATGAGCACATAGATGGTTGGATACAGAATTTTTGGATGAGCAAGAATTTATTTTCCAGTTATTTTTTTTATCAAATTTCTTTATTAAAATAGATATATCCCACAAAGGCAATTTCAGTTCCATACAACACTGATTAAAAAATACGAAAAATTGGTAAAAAAATTAGCTGATGGCCTCTTAAAAACTAATATTTCTGAACTTACATATCTCAACATTACAACTTCACAAATTTGTGCGATAGTAACAAAAATTAACTGTACAAACAGAGGACTTTAAAAAAATAAAGAACTAGAGCAGACAATATCCTGAAGCACTGTAAATATTCAAAATATCTGGAAAGAATGAACCAACCCTGTATAACTTTTTCCACATATTTTTCAAAAATTCTGATCAAAACATGAAGACAACAGAAAATTCTGTCTATTTGGTCCAAAATTTACAAAGAAATTCATTTATAAATACAGAAAAATATCTAAAGTGTTACACCAATTTTGGAGTTAATTTCACTTGCAGACGACTTGGGTGTGGATCGGGGTGTCGCTTCGCTGCGATCTATCGAAAGTAAGCCTCAAAGACCCGTGGGATAAGCTAGTTTGTTCTGTCATCTATTTTGAACAAATTTCTTGTTTGCTTCATTTGATAATTCGAAAATGTATAATTTAAAGTAGATTGTCAGTAGTTAATTTTGAAATAAAAAATGTCTGTTTTAATGATCAGCAGACAAACTACCAGTAAACTGCACAGAGATTTAGTTATAGCCAGAAAATAAAAAGTGTAGATGACTAAAAAAAATATCAGAAAGAAGTAGCCACATCCTGTACTTTTGGTCTACTTTTTGGTGGTTATATATTGTTTTGTAACTTATGACAAAATTTTGATCAAAAGGTTTGTTTAAATTTACCAGGTCACATAAAAATGTGGACTGTCTGTTCAAAATGACAGGTAGACAGGTGGCTGTACGAAAACAAAACATGTACGAGGATTATGTTAAATTTATTATGGTACACATATTAACTGATCTTTTAAACCGTCCATTTTAAACAACATACCAGTACTACAGTATGAGGCATATAATAGTGTTTACGGCTTTAACCTTTTGAGAACCAAAGTTGGATTTTTGTAACCTTTTACGAAATAAAACACATTTTTTCGTATTTTGTGATCGAGACATGTATAACCAAATGGAAATTACGTTCATTTGGTCCTAAATTAACAACAAAAGTATGGAAAAATACATTACTATCATTGGCATATTCAATCTGATAAACGTAAAGACTCCTACATAAGACTTTGACCAGATTGTTCATTGAATACTAGTAATTAATATTCGATATTTACGGAAGCTAATTCCAGCTGCTTCCCGAGTTACCAGCAGTTTTTTTTCAATAAATGCAACTTTATGTCGCAATATATGTATCTTTATTGTAAATATTAATATTTTATCAACAAAACATTGACACAGAAAGCAAGCAACAGTAGTGCTATATCGCTACAGGAAGTACCGGTATCACCACAGACATGCGGACAGACATGCCCCCTTCCTTTTATTCGCGACCGTAAATTAAACAAATTTATTCTGCGACGTCGACGACTTTGAGCACTTACCTGTCAATATATACGATTTACATTTGATGTCTTTGTATTTTTTTTAAACCAAAAGAGCACATTTATGTAGACACCTTCAAATTGTACTTTTTTATAGTCCCGCGACTGCCAGCGAGTTTGTTATTTGCAAGTTGTTATGATGTCAAATGTAGGTGCTAAGACCCTCTAGGTGATAGCAAATTCACAAGAATTGAAACAAGAACGACATGACAATTTTAATCCGATAGATAATTTTTTTTTATTTTAAGAACAAAATAATATTAATACTAGTATATTCATTAGAATAAAATATGCTTTTCAATTTTAAATTCGAAAACACAATGCGGAAAATATCAGCAAGTTAGGGAGTTGTTTTCGCTATCCGGGTACTTTGTCTGTTCGTCGGGATCGTGGACAACACCGAGAAAATACTACGAAATGGCGGCACGAATGGTATCACTTTTAAGGAGGCCTTTGATAAGCGACATCAGGCTATCGTCAACAGGACAGTCTGCATCTGCAGGGGATCACACAGGTATGAATACGAAGTCTACCCGATAACTACAAAAACTAACCGATTCTGACCTTGTTTTGTGACCTCTCAGTCGTAAAGTTTCATGCACGTAGGCACCGTAACAATTTTGTTTTTAATGTAATTACCAGTTCATGAAACACGATTTGTTGAACATTCATGTCTGACGCGAATTCCATGATAATTCTACATCACAACGAATAATATCGTCTGCTCCGTTGTCAATACTCGTGCTCATTATCAGGACTTTCTATGTTGGTTTACCGGCGTGTGGTGGCGCTCTTCAGCAAGAAAATTGAAAAAAAAAAATATATACCGGTGGCGGTACACATAATAGAGATATTAATTACTGCATCTTAGATTTTCCAGTACTATATATTCCACATGTTTTCTACAGTGATCACTCTCTGAGCAACAAAATGATTAACTTGACTTTCTTGTACCGTACGTGTACTGAAGGGCGCTAAATGACTGTTACATAGTTACTGCGGAAACCTGTGTCATTCACGACCACTAAGAATGCTGCATTATTTCTTGTGTCTGCAACGTTGACGACTTGCGCAGTGATTTCTATGAAGCACGCATATTCAGTCGGGACTATCGTTCAAACAGGATATATACCCTGATCAAGATAATATCTTGATTGGAATGCAAGTTATCTTGAGCAGAATATATATATATTTTGTCTTCAAAGGTTTCAGTGCACCAAACAAAGGCTTAGTCAGGACTAATCCTTGATGAATATACCAATCGAGATAGAAACAATTCCTCGATCAGAAAACAGGTAGCAAAATATGCCCAGGACAACCTATGGCTTTTTGCTTTTGTCTTTAGAAGAGGAAAATGTACATATCAGTTTCAATATGCGTCATGATTTAATAAAATGTGCCAACGTTATCAGAGTATACATCTATCAAGTTATGTGTATATTCTGATTGGGATATCCTGTATATGCTTCTCAGCATGTCTGAATAAAGTTCTATGAATACTTCCGGGAAATCCCAGTAATACTTGGTCTTAACATTTGTTTTCATAGGTGGTGCAAAGACTTGGAAACTGTTAACTTACTTGGTGGCCGTTCCTGGTGTAGTGGTTTGTATGGCTAATGCCTATATGAAGGAAACGGAGCATTTGAATCATTTAAAAGAACATAGACCTGAATTTATCGCTTACCCACATCTGAGAATCAGAACCAAGGTAAACAAATATTATTGATCATAGAAATTCTACATACTACTACTACTAACATGTTTATTATTAAATATCTAATTTGGTGGAAACTAAGATAAATGATCTCAGCAGAAGAAAACCACATATCAGTTGTTGCTAAGACAAGACACAGAATTAACACAATGCACAGCAAAGGAAATACTTAAATTATTCATTATAATACATTTGTATTGAGTATGCAATGCCAAATCTCCAATTCTTGAATAGTCGTGTAGTTAGGCGATTTATGCATTACAACTACAGTTGTACACAATATGTAGTGCTTAACAAGTATACAACACTATTTCTGTAATTTTAACTTGTGTCCAGGTTGCTTACTAGTCTCTATTTTTTACATTGCTTGCCCATTGAATATATTGTATACATGTTGAGGCCTTGTCTGTATTTGAAAGCATAATTTTGTTTCTTAGTAATAACTTTTGTTCATGATATTTGACACGATCTGAAAGAATTGAATTCCAACCTCAATTTGATTTTTACTCTAATTGTCTTCTGAGAGGTAGTTTTGAAATTGCAGGTTTGCTCACTTCAGTTGCCAAGTTTTGATTATTGACTCTAAATCTAATGAGTTTTTTCCATTCTCATTCAGTTGTATGTAGTAAGCTCTGACAAATACTGTGGAATACTTTATTTTCGCTGGACTTAATTTTCGCTGAAAAGGCTTTTTGGCGTTTTGTATGGAATTTATTTTTACTGATTTTCGATGAGTTTAATGTGAAATATAGGAAAAAAAGTATATTCGCTGGATTTTATCTTCATGAAATCATCTCTTCAGCGAAAATAAATTCCAAGCGAAAATAAAGTATTCTACAGTATTGTAGTCCTTTATAAATGCGATTTTCTTCTTAAAGAGGTTAAACAAGTAGGCGTTGGCTGCAAAAACTTTGTACATTATTAGTCACTATGGCTAATGGTAATCGTATGACATTTATTTATCCATTCTTTTTCAGCCTTACCCCTGGGGAGATGGTAACCACTCACTGTTCCACAATGGCTGGGTCAACCCATTACCAGAAGGTTATGAGGAGTCTGATGAATAACTTTAACACCAGCGAATAACTTTATTGTCTGCAGTTGTTTTTAGTTAATACACTCCATCAAACAGTCATTTGTATAAAATAAAACTATAATATTATCCACAATGTTAACTCCAAAGTAGATAATTGTCAAGAAAACAATCTTGAGTTTGGGAATTCTTTTTGTTTAAATCTATTTTGTGTGTTTGAGTCCAGATTGAAAATAAAAACATCTTAAAGTTAACATGGTTTCAGTGTTATTTTTAATAAATTCCACTGTAATCTACATAAAAGGCAGAGTATGAGGTGTTTAGAATATAAAACCTGATCAGAGTTGAAATATGGCAGCAGCAGGCAATCTATGAATTTCCATTGTGTCCTTATAAGCCCTTGAACATTGCTGTGTATCATGCAACATGTGATGTTTTGACGTACTGAGACACATTCATAGTTTCTGATTTTTCCGAAATTGGCCGACTAGTAACCATTACATAAATGTACCTACGTCAAAACTGTGGAAATGCCCAAAAATTAGTTTCATGCGTGTAGAATCTTGCGTCACAACACTGCCTGGGAACAATGCATTAGTTTTGAATTTAAATTTGGGCATACTAATTTCTGAATTTGCACCATGTGATATTCATCACATTTCATTGAAATTTGGTTTATAGATGCTCTGCAGTAACCCACAGACAATATTAGTTTAATGATGGAAAATGTGAATATTGATTGTCGGTTTCTGATATTTCGAATTAATTTGAACTTGTGGTAGAGGTGCTCTGGTATAAATTAGATTGAAAACCAGATAAAATCAAATGTCGTTTTTGGTAAGTATAAAAATGTTTTTAAACTTCAATAATGTGGATCGCATTGTTTTCATTTTGTACATCTTGAACATGAGACGTGTAAGTTGAAAAGCTTATTTGGAAGGCATTTTTTAATATATCCACAATACTCTCAGCATATGGGTGTTTGAAGCTTTAAGTTTGATATCATACAAAATGCAGGATCTCTCAGTGAATCAAAAATGGTCTTGTAGATGCTTATCTGCGCTTAGTTTGAAGCCAGCTTTTGTTTCTTCTGAGCACTTCATCTTGGTCACCTATCATGTGATTCGTATAAAAGTCTCAGGACAATTAAAAATTGATATATTCTTGTAGTGACCAAACGGCACTAGTTTGGCAAAACATTTAATGCATGGAATTATCAGTATGGAGCATTCTGACTAGTTGAGAAATGCAAGGTCAATTTTAAAGGGTGGTGGGTATGGGACGAGTATGAACAAAGATGGCGACTTTGACTTTACAAACTTAAGTCGTTACTAAGGTAGGTATCAAAGGGGCGCAGGTGGTAATTAGTGCATGTTGCACCCAAATCAAAATCCTTACTCGTGAGTGCATAGGATTATGGGAAAATCAATGTTTATCAATACAAATGTTGCACATGCATGACCACTGCCTTTAAGGAAGAAAACTACCTGAACAAGGAGTCAGACAAAGAGTGGTATAATAAGGAGAACAACAATTTTAACGGAAAACAATTTTTAATACTGTGTTTACATTTGCAGTGTTTACAGAGGGATGATACAAGAATGTACAATTAAAATGTAATGTCAGTTTTCCTGTATTTAGAGATAAAGTATGATGTACACAAACTACAACACATTTAAAAACTAGCAAAAAGCTTTGCATTGAATTCAATGGTAGTAAAAATTTAGGTACAGTGTACATGTTCTCTGAAGAGCCTGGTGATTACTGTAAAATCTGTATTAAAAGTCGCGGCTTGTATTAAAATGGTACAATGCAACAGAGGGGATGCGGCTTTTATTAAAGCATCTATCTACACATATGAGAAATGGTGAATTTTTGGGACTCAATTGTTCAAAATGAATGAGTGGCTTCTAACACAGATTTTACGGTACGGTAGTTGGCAGGATCATTGAAATCATTTAATTGATCATTCATATTGCACAATTCATTCTACAGCAGTTCATAAAAAAAAAAAATCCTTTAAAAGTGACAGTCACACATGCATTGTGTACAGTGCTTGAAATGTAATGCAACTCAACTACAATACAGTGGGCCTTCAGACATTAATACTTTGTTCATTAAAATGTATCTATACATTTATAGAATTTCTTTATGAAATTACATATAACTATGAATAAAATATCTATATATTTATTACCTATCTACATATAAATAACTTACTAAAAGCATTTAGGATTGCATTGTCGAAGCAAAAAAACTACATTTCTAACAATATAATTAAATAGTGTGGAAAACTTTATTTTCGCTGGAATTAATTTTTGCTGAAAAGGCTTTTTGGGCGTTTTGCTTGAAATTTATTTTCACTGATTTTTGATGAGTTTAATGTTAAATATAGGAAAAAAAGTATATTTGCTGTATTTTATTTTCACGGAATTATCCCTTCAGCGAAAATAAATTCCAAGCGAAAATAAAGTATTCTACAGTAGCTAAGAAATTTTCAATTAATGGCTGTCATTAAATTATGTATATTTACATCTCTGTACTTTGGTTCAATGGGAAATGTTTTGAGATGTAATGTCTCTGGTTGCCAGGCTGCAGAGTGTGTGATTTTTATGTAATTTATCTTCAGTCACAAACAGATTTCTTTTTTTTTCAACGAACATGTCCACAATTCTATCACAGTTGTTTCACATTTGTTGTAGGCTGGATTTTGAGAAATGGCGCTGTATAGAGAATATGTGTCACCCATTCAAATAGAAGGGTCTACTCATAACTACCATATTTATTCTATTAGAAGCACATCTTCAATTAAGGTTCATGTGTGAGCCAAACATGTTTTGATGGAATTTACATCAAACTCACAATGTTAACCTATTTAAACATGGCATTCACTAATTTTTCTCACTAAAATTTTGAAGTAACATTTCATGTATTTTTCTAAAATGTTTTTGGTTAGTTTTGAACTAAATGGACACAATTCCCTATTGCCTACAGGTTGTGATCTACGTCAGGAAAAAAATATGATGGTTTATTTTGTGAATATTGACAAAAGTTGATTTTGGCAGTATTTCTCAAAGGTAAGTATGGTACTGGGATGAAGAGAAAAACAGAATGTATATCGCCATCCCAATATAGAGCTATAAATACGTATTACAATTCACTGGATGCAAATTAAAAAATGAACAAAAAGTTATCATAATGCACTCTGTAACCTAGCAACCAGAGCTAGAAACGCTTGTTTTACCTCGCATGATTTGGCATAACAAAACTTAATATAAATTAGAATTTGTATTAAAAACTTTTAAAATCCTTCATTGGGATTACAGCAGTTACAAATGAAAGACCTTTTTGGTAGAGACGATTTACCGTTCAAAATGTCGCGGTAGTGAAATTCCACTAAAAAATCTACAAAATGACAATCCAGCTCACAAAACTTCACATACATTTAAAAAAATATATATTACAAAAATGAGTAGATTCAACATTCCAGTCAGAAAAACAGTCATTAATAAATAAATATTAAGTAGAAATAGGTTCTCTTGATGGGTAATTGAAAATTCATTTCAACGTTTTATGAGGTTTTCTAGATTCCATCACAACAGATCATTCATAATCTGTTACATATAATTATTAACAATATCGTCACCATAATTTATCATAACATTTTCAAGTTTTCTGTAAACAATTTCATACCAGACAGACTACTGCTTTCAGTTCTTTTTGACACATGGATTTACTTAACATTTTCATATCTGTCTCGCATGTATCCAATAAATATACCGACCATAGTGCTATGCTTATGTCATATACAAAGGTCATTGTTTTACATTTGCTAGCATATTATGCTAGAAAACATTCCACTGACAATATATGGATTGCAGTACAAGATGACAATTAGTGTGTACATCGATGACATCACATTTGAGTACTAGTATACAACTTGGCAACGATGAAGTAACATTTTTCGTCAAGAGCTAAATTCAATAAATTGTAATTAATGTTGCATCCCACTGAAAACCTCTCACTGACCCCAGTGAGTATCACAAGGCTTTGAGTTTAATACAGTTTATGAGAAATCTTATCTTACAGAATCCTGAAATTGACTAAAATAAAAAAATATCAGACAAACATCCAAATGACACCATGACTTTATTTCTGTCAAGTGCAGGCTAATTTCAGTGCTCAAATATTTCAGAATTTGTTGCCACAGCAACCGATTTTAATATTTCTCATAGTGATCACAATGGGACTGTTTTGTATATAATACAAAGTGGAAATTTACATAACTGTAAACCTTTTAGTGATGCAGAGACGACATGAAAACCACACCAAAATAATGTGGTTGATGCTTGGAAAACAATATCCTCTGCTGACAATGAGCCCTAGAGAATCTAGCATTTTCAATTTGCACATCTGTGTTATCTATATCTTGCTTGTAATCCATTTTAACCTTTTCACCACCAGTTCCCTTTTTTTCATCACAACTTCAAAAAAATAGTCCTGTTTATATTCTGCACTTTCCCTCCAAAGATTGGGACAAAAATAGCCAAATTTTATGAATAAAAACTGAAAATTGATTGTATGTTGGCTCGAAAATTAGGGTTCATTTCCAGAAATATTGAAGAATATAAAAAAATTGCAGAATAATTTGGTCAAGAAAGTGTGGTGGTAAAAAGATTAAGGTTCTAAAGACGTGAACTTTTGTACATCCCAGGTTATGCATTCAACCATATAAATATTAATTTTATATTACTGTAATAAGTACCGGTACCGGTAGTACATCAAACACTGATGTTGCAGCAGAATATAAAGCCATATCATCTTACACATGGCAGTAGTGGAGAAATCATCTGCGGATTTTCATAAGAAATGTTCATTACAAATCCGTAAATAATGGATTGACCCAATCAAAATTCTTAATCTGTAAAAAAATAAGAAATATCAATGTTAAGAATGTAATATGGTTGAATGAAGTTGTTTATTTTTGTCTGAGAAATGTTTATCATACCAGTGTATTCGAAAACAAATTGGTCAATGGATATCTGAGAAATGGGTTTATACACATACAGGAAAATTAATTTTCAGAAGTCCCAATATCAATGGCCTGCGCTAAGCTGAGTCTTCAAAACTCATCATGTGTTCATTCCACTGTATTGTTCTATTGTTATTTTTCTGTACTGACATTCAAATGCAATGTGGCAGTGTAAAATGATAGGTCACAGTATTAACTAGTACAATAATTTGTGTCGGTTTAGATACCTGGTCACTCAAATTGGTAGACATATTTCACCACAGAATATTTAAATGATTTATGATAAATTCTTACCATTGTATTCATTGACTCTTCCATTCTAGTTGCGGCTGAATATCTGTTTGTGTTCTTTTTGCGTTGACGACTATTTGAACTCAAGTCCGGCGTGGACAATGTACGCCTCGCTTTGTTTTTCCTCTGTAGCATGGTTTTGGGAGACAATCTCTTTTCCAAGACACCGTCAAAAGACAACAGTTGAAAGAACTCTTGTCTTTTTAGAATATCTATATGCTGTAGTCGTCGAGCTGGATCTTTAGCAAGTAACTAGAATAAAATAATGGATGAAATTTACCAAATCAATCTCACTAGAGAGAAGATACTTAGCAAAACATTGTCACGTTCGAATACCTTCCTAATAATATACATCTGTCACTGTATTTCTATTGCAGTGCATCATAATGGTGTGGTATGGCATGGGGATATCTGCTTCATAACATATCGGGTAGTCCAACAAAACTAATTTTTTTTTCTCATCATCATGCGAGTCCTTTTGAAACTTGTGCCTTAAACATTTTTTTGCAATTTTTTGTAACGATAAAAAGTGCCTCATACAGATGGTTCAATAGCGCCACAAGGCTGCAAAAAATATGACAAATATCGGTAGTTGAATGGTCATTGTATTTTTTTACAATACATCTACATAGGTCAATTAATCATTGAATTAAATATAGTAATTCTCACCCCTTTGACAATATTCCTTGCAGCAATGGAGATATTATTGGGCAAGTCATATTTACAATCCATGATTTTCTGGTACATATCCAGATGAGAGCCAGAACACTCAACCGGGTATTTTCCTGTCAACATGGCATACATTACGATACCCAGAGACCACCAATCCACAGTGTAACTGTATGGCTGCTTAGGATTCAGTGCCTCTGGAGCTGAAAATAATAACAAGTATTAACCTTTTCACCACCAATTTTCTCTTTTCCTCACAAATTCACAAAATAGTCCCATTTATAGTGTGCACTTTAGAAGATTGGGACAAAAATAGCCAAATTCTTTGAGTAAAAACTGAAAATTTACTCAAATTTTGTCTGTTAGCTCTAAAATTAGGGTTCATTTCCAGAAATATTGAAGAATATAAGAAAAAAAATTGCAGAACAGTTTGGGCGACTAAGTCTGGTTGTGAAATAGAGCTTTGTACACAGCAACGCAAATAGTCAACAACTTGTTGAGAGAAAAAGCCCTACAAGACTTTGTCCTGAACAGTATTCTTTTCTTTCCTCTCATCACGTTCACTGTTCTAAATACTATCATGGTGACATAGATCAGTAAAGCAGTGAATGTGATGACAGGGAAGAACGGAACACTTTTTGAGAGCTGTCATGGCTTTCTTGCTTTCAGTGTTGTCTCAGTAGCCATTTGGTTCTAAAGTCTATTGGAAATACTATAAATAATGAGAAAATTATAGTAATTAACATGAAATCTAATGATGACTTATTCCATCGAACAAAGTGCACTTTCATTGCTGTTCAGTGTAACCTCATAGTGTTCGCTATAATTTATCAATTACTGAAAAATGGCAAATATCTCTTGAAGTTGGAATTAGGAAGATTGAAATTTTTTTTCTGAAATTGACTTGGTCTGAAAAGCTGGTTAGGCAACTTCAAACTTTTTCCTTTTTCCGACATTGTGGTCCATGGTTGTCAGCTGATAGTGAAATAACTTACCCATATATTGCATTGTGCCGCATATTGTTGATGCCCTATGACCTCGTGATAACCATCTCGCTAATCCAAAATCAGTTAATTTGATATGTCCTTCATCATCTAAAAGAACATTCTCCATCTGCAACACAATCATATGAAAAATAAAATCTAAGCAATATTAAGCGACATTCCATCAAATGATAATAGTTTCAATATGCATTAGAAGCCGCATCCCTAATAGAAGTTGCGCCCATTTTTTTTGAATAATTGAGAACAAAAAATTCATCATTTCTCATATGTGTAGATGCTGTAATAGAAGCCACATCCCCTCTGTTGCATTGTACCATTTTAATATACATGTAAGCCACGGTTTCTAATACAGATTTTAAGGTAATTACTGATAACAAATTTTAAACAAGTCATTGAAAATGACACAGTCCCCCATAAATTATTTGAAAGTTCTCTTTGTGCTCGTCATATTAAAGTGGAGGGGGTTGTCGTGAGCATGTCCTTGAAACTTGAGTCCCAAGTGGCGTATACAACAGATTGTTTATTTACATCAAATTCAAACATGACCCCTCCGATTTAAGACATAGCAAAGAAAAACATAGATCACAAGTGAAAGCATGTCCAAGTTATCACATTTTAAACAAACAAGATGGCTGCCAGTCTGCCAAATTTGATCAAATTGCAAACTGAATTGACATGTACCCATTTATGACATGCTAAATATCAATGAAAATGATACATGGGTGACAGAGATATAGTAATATGGCCACAAATAAAAACAGCCGTTATTCGGCCATCTTTGATCTGATTATGAATCAAAGTGACATGTATGATGTATGTGCCAAATACGAATGAGAATGGTACATAAATCTTGGAAATATTGAAGTAAGGCCAAAAAGTCAGATGGCTCTCAATCAGCCATCCTTGATCCGATCTTGAAACAAATTGTCATGGACATGTATACTAACATGTATAAAGTATGTGCTAAATTTAAATGAAAACTGACAAAGCATGTCCAAAATACAACATTTTCAAAAAACAAGATGGCTGCCAGTCGGCCATTTTGAATTGTATCGCTAAGCCATTGCATGTGCACATGTCCCACATAAAGTACTAGTCACATGCAAAGAATGAACAGAATCGGTCCACAGGATTCTGAAATATGACCTCGAACGAACGGACGCACAGTCGCACAGACAGACGGACGGATGCACAGATGGACGGACGGTCAAAAGACATGTATACTAACATGTATAATCTATGTACCAAATTTGAATGAAAACTGACAAAGCATGTCCAAAATACAACATTTTCAAAAAACAAGATTGCTGCCAGTCGGCCATTTTGAATCAAATCACTAAACCACTGCATGTGCATATGTCCCACATAAAGTACTGGGCACATGCAAAGAATGAAGGAAATCGGCCCAAAGAATTCTGAAATATGACTTCGGATGGACGCACGAACAGAGACCGAATTATAAGTCCCCGTTTTCAAACTTCGGACTAATAAAGCACTACAGTCATAATGCAGTGCGTGTTCGAATTTTGTGTAAATAAACATGAGTATACTACACACATCTAACATGATGTGGAGCAATGACTGTAGTGCTTTTCTTATTTATGTTTGATAAATATAAACTTGAATTTCAAAGCAATTTTTCAGCCAGCTCAATCTGAAAGGTGTGATGAACTCCTACAAAGAAATGGCACACCACTAAACCCTCTGTATTTTCCTTGCTTTGGTGTCATTTAGCTGCTTTGCAATTTATGTAGCAAATTTGATAGTCATTTTGCAAAACTGTAGTTCCCTGCGCATGTGCCCTACCAGCAAAAACTTGTAACAATTTCAATATTTCATAACTAATAATAATAACTTCAATATTTCAAACTAAAAAAAACAAAATTTCAGTATTCATAACTGACATGAGATGACATCTGCTGGTAATTAACCAATCAAATTACTTCAAATATTTCATTAAAGCATGTGTTCGAATTTCATGTAAATAAACAATGTATTTTACAACACTGTATACATCAACCTTTAAATTTCAATATTTCATAACTATTAATATAATTTCAATATTTCAAACTAAAAAACAAAATTTCAGTATTCATGCATAACTGACATTGATTTAGATGACACCTCCTGGTAATTACACAATCAAATTACTTCAAATGTGTTGTTTTATTAAATAAGCTAATAATCAACTGAATACATTTACATTGGTTTGAATGTCACCTTAAGATCTCTGTACACAACTCCAGATGTATGCAGAAAATCCAAAGCTAGAGCTAACTCTGCTGCATAAATTCTAACAATGTCTTCAGTGAAATAATGCTCCATAGCCCAGAGAGTGAATAAATCACCATGGTCCAAGTAGTCAGTGACTGTCAATAAAAAGAAGAAATATTAAAACAAAAAAAATGTTTGATGACAAAATGCCGACACTGTATATAGTAAAATGAGACCTGTTTAATAGGACACCAAAGAAGATTTTCCTGTTCATTTCATAACAAAGCGTGTGAAACTATTTGTTATCATTTCTATTAAGTATGCTTGTAACTCTGGTCTATCTTTGACAATCAGTAATAGACCTTTTTCTGTTCACAGTGAAATTCCACGTTTTTGCTTTGCGTGATAATGACATAAAAGCATTGCATGGGATTCAACAAATGAAAAAATATTTTTGGGATATTTTCACACATAAAAATATGCTACACACATTTGATGACCAATGGTCAATTGTGATGAAGTAAATGGAATCTCAACTCAATAATCCTCTCTCAATGACCAACATTTTGACATTGGGGTATAACAAATAAATTCAAAATCAAAGTGTTCAATTTTTGTGCCAGACATTCCCGTCCGAGTATTTTCGGGCAATATGCAAAAGTATGCTGTGAATGGGAAAATCAGCAATTGCCTCTTAAAACTAATATTCTAGGCTGTGTAGACATTTTGATGTTGGCAAATTATCTCTTACTTTTAGCTATATATATATATATATATAGCTGTAAACTCATTTTAATGCCTTCAAGCATTGGGAACAAAACGTCTTCACAAATGACAAACTCAATACTCCTCCTTCAAAATGTTCCATTATTATTGAGAACACTAACTTCATCAATTAGATTCAGTGCAATTTATGTGATCTTTATGTATTAAATATTTTTTTTTTTTTTCAATTGTATCACTTTTTCTGTAATTTTTTTGGTAAATTCGCTGTACTTTGTTTTTATTATATTGAATAAAAGGCATTTATTTAAAGAAAAGAAAGAATGGATTGAAAGATTGGATTGGATTTATTTCAAGACAATCTGGATTCAGACTTTTTTTATAATAGTGCATATATGTATCTGAGGTATTAGTAAACTTGGTATCAAAGATGAAAGTTAGTCTGCAAATGAGAATGGTGACCACACTGGTCAAAGTGGACATAGATTTTGTATTAAATGTGACTACTCTGCATTTAAAACATCACAATTATACCATGTTTGTACACAATGCCTCAGTGTAAAACACACTGATAGTTTGTACAAAATTCCAACAAATACTTTGTGTTGACTGTTTCACTCTACATGTACATACCAAGAAAGAGATGAGTTCTTGTCTGCCACATATACATAGCTGTTATTATAAATGGATGGCGACATAACACACTCTGTAACAGAAAGCATCATGTCAACAAATGTATGTAGTATAAGTTGCCATACAACTCGGTACATTGTCTTAGACGTACATTTCACATTTATGTGCAAGCTGCATGAATTTCAGTCACCTCTAGATGAAGCTAGCGTCAACCTGGTAAAACCGTGTTTCAAAGTGCCTCAGTGTATGTGTGCTACTAAATATATTTATTTGTTAATATATTGTTGTCTGTTACCCACAGTAATTCTGTGTTACATGCATCAAAATCATTTAACGTTAACGTAAAACATTGTACCCGTACAAGACCAAAACACAGGCAATATACAAAGTGAAAGTTTTTTTAACTTTTTAAAAAATTTCACATTGAGAGACTTTCGTTTTTGGTGGGAGGGGTAGACTCAGCACAATTTAAGATAACTTACATATTCAATGTGTCAGTTCTAATGATCAACATTCTCTAGGTTACTAAATATATGACAAACTTATTACTCTGCCCAATTTAATATGGTTTTGATCATACTAGCCAGAATTGAACCTGTAAATCTTGTTTCCCGCCAAAAATTTCAACAAAGTTAAGCACATTTTTGAGTATTTTTCTATAATTTCTGCATTGATTTTAGACCAAAAAACGATAACTTCCTATTTTAGATATTGATCAAAATTGTTGACAATATATAGAAAAAAAGTTTATTTCATGGAAGGTGATAAAATTTGACTGACATGGAAATAGATTCCTACCTGTATTAGGGCTTCTTGTTTGCACTGCTTGACAATGTCATTCTTGATTACATCACCCTTGGAAATTATCTACAATAAAACACAGGTTTATCATGAATTTATATTCATTTTGTAAATTCATAAATTTTCGCCACCATCACAGTGTTAAAAGTTTGACAATCTAATGGTCTTTGCAACAACCAAATTTCACAAATCATAATTATACTTCTCACCTGAACAACTCTATTTTCACTGCTACAAAGTGTCACAATTTTAAAAATGTCATTGAATGAGATTACTTTCAAACGTTCACATACAGCGAGAGTTCACTACTTGTGCGATCTTCCTTGCACATCACCATACATGGTAATGAAAGTTGTATACCTTATATTCCCAATATTTCACCTCACTTTTGTTTTAAAGAATAGGAAGTTGAGGTATGCTGCATTATGGGAGTAAAATGGTAGTCTCCTTGTAGATGCAGAACTTCATTACTAAAATAGTGTTTTCTTGAATAAAATGTAAAAATGTTTGCTACAAGGTTTTACTGAAAATAGAACTGAAATAGTCATGGAATGTAAAACAGATCAAATGAGAAGTGTGTGCAGACAATGAAGACATTTTTAACTTTACTGTGACTTTTCAGTGAATCCCAGGAAAGTATATTGCCTGAACAATGCCCTCGAATAATTATTTTAGTTTCTGTTCACTCATTTGTTTTGTCTAACTCAAATGTCTTCATTAATTATTGATCGCATGACATAATGCTTTAGTGATTTGAAACAATCGCTAAGTGTTCTATGTCCATTTTTTTTCTTATTTAAAATTGCTATTAAATAGTGCTGTTCTAGTGTTATTAAATAGTGCTATTAAAAGTGCTGTTCTCGTAAAAAGCAGTTTTCTTTTTATAAGTATATAATTAGCAAATTACATAGAACCAAGGACTAGATTAGTTCTATCTTGTTATTTCCATGGTCATGTATGTAACAATCACTTTTTGGTGACTTAATTGAGAAAAAGACGATAAAACGTTAACCACACTAAATTCTCAATCACAGCAAACCTTAAATTCTCTGAAACTTTGAATATTTCATTACTGAGAGAAACATTTTCAAAAGTATAAATACTGCTATAAATCATTCACTAGGTTTTAATTTGGCTATTTTCGCTCAAAAGTAAAATCTGCTAAAATTAAATCCATGTATAATAACAATAGGACTAATTGTTTCCCAGACAATTTCATGATATTAAATTAATATGCGTAAATAGTGAAAATAAATGCCAGTAAAAATAAATCTTAGACCATGTACATGTGGATGAAACATCATGGGCATGCGCCCTCTATAGACAACTCTAGGAGATGTAAACTATCAGAAAACTAGTTTATGATATTCATATAATTAATAGATGAAAAATATAATTTCTAAAATATAATTTATGTAAATTAATCATACCTAGATCTCTTAAAATTATTAAGAATTTTGTTGATGATTGAAGATTACATTTGTTTTGTATTTTCTTTATTTTATCACTAATATGGATGTACAAAAGAGTGGAAAACAGGAAATTTTATGTGTCTGCATTGCATGGTGTCAAAAGTGAATTATTACAACATATCTAGAAACCTTGTCTGGGCTGATATATTAAGTCTCCCATAATGCATTTCACCAATATATATGCTCACTAAATGCTCACACAACCTGACTGTAATTCCCCAACTTTCACTGACTTCTTAATTTTTACATATTTAAAATTCCTAATTTGTAAAATTACCAAAATAACCCACTCTTCATTTCTATGAAAACTGTCTCTTAAATTTTTTTTACAACACTTTGCACAAGGTATTTTCTCTAATTAC